GTAAACTTTTCTCATTGATTTTAATATAAAAATAAATCTGATAAGAATGTCATGTTTAGCTTTGCTTCTGTTAACTTTGATTGTACGTTGTGTTTTAATAGTTCATATCAGATAGTTTGATTTTGATCTAGAAAATACTTTTTTTCTTTTTTACACACGTTTAGGAAAACCTTTGCACATTTGCGTGAGATTTAGGTTTCCTCGGATTGTGACGTCATAATCGGAAAAAGTAAAATAACATAGAAAATCAGGGGCTATTCATACTGCAAGAAAATGTTTTTCAGCAGATCATAATGATAAAGATTTATAATAATAAAAGTCGTGACCAGCACCCTACTATAAGTCAACTATATGGTTGTAACAGGAGTTTCTGACCGCTCACTTGTTAATCGGTGGCTCCCACCTCCTCACTAACGTGTACAGAACGAGGAAAAACGTCCACTTTACTTGTACTCGCTGAACACAGCAGTCCGACAGCTACTTCCGTGTACTTCTGTCCGGTTTGTTACGTATTCACGTTCTGTTATTGCACTGACGTAGGAGGAGTAGACGCTTCCATTGGCCAGTAAAAAGGTTACGTCAGCTCGTTCGCCATATTGGGAGTGGCTAGCTTAATTTCATAATCAAGACTGCCATACTTAGAATCTATTTTTCCAAGTTAAGGAAGCACCAAAATGTGTGTTTAACGAGTTGCTAATAACTAGTAATTAGAGCTTCGTAATTATTTACCTATAAATTATATGTGACGGATACAGAACAATATATATATATTTTTTCTTCCACCAGCAGCGCCATCTAGTGGTGTGAATCAAGCTGTTACTAACCGCTTGTAACGTACACGGCGGCAGCTCCAAAGATCCGAGTCTTATCAGCTGCAGACAGCGAAAACACTCCCTAAGCTGACTGTTGTTATGTCATCTTCTGCAGGTAAGAGGTCATTTTAAAACTCCGGACAAAGTCTTTCCAAAATCGACGAGGCATTGGAGTTTTACTTCGGTTACATAATGATTACAGTTCTAGTTTTACACTTCAAGTCCAGCTGTAACCGGATGTTTGCAGCACATGGAGCTATAATGCTTTATTAAACTTTTTTGTTATTTATTTATTTTTTTATGAAATATCCACTCGGAATAATTGTTTTCAGGGCGTAGCCAAAAATTACGGAGCCCCTCTGATGACATGGTCAAAAAAAATGTTTAATTGTGGCCACGAAGTAGTATTTCGTGCGCACGAAGTAGTATTTCGTGCGCACGAAGTAGTATTTCGCGGCCACGCAATAAGTATAACGTGCGCGCGAAATACTACTTCGTGGCCACGCAATAAGTTTAACGTCCGCACGAAATACTTATTAATATCAATAAATCCGCCCCTGTTTTCAGGCTTATGTTAACTGTAATGACTTATCTTGGACAGGCTGCTATGTAAACGGGCCTTTGGTCCTTCGTTTAGCATTGCTCCGGTTGTTTACACTACGCCTTTTCCACCTAAAATAGCGTCTTAGCAACAAATGTCACGTGACTGGCGGAGACCGACTGGGTAAGCAAATCGAGCGCGCCTTAGACCTTAGAGAAGGCGCGCTCGATTTGCTTACCCAGTTGTCAAGGAATGATATTAATATTATTAATAAGTATTTCGTGCGCACGTTAAACTTATTGCGTGGCCACAAAATAGTATTTCGTGCGCACGATAAACTTATTGCGTGGCCGCGAAATACTACTTCGTGGCCACAATTAAAATTTTTTTTTGACCATGTCATCAGAGGGGCTCCGTAAAAAATAACAATAACATTTAATTGAATTTTCTTTAAATGTTATATCTCGACACATTTAAGGGAAAGATGCAGTGTTTTCAAGATGATTTTGCTACAAAGTAAAGTGTGGCATGCACATGTATTCAACCTAAAAGACTAAAAGGACATTCAGTTCAGTTTATTTATATAGCGCGAAGTCACAACACATTTTATCTCAAGGCCATGGGCGGTTCTAGAAAGGGGCCGACGATCATGTTATGACCCTTGTTGTGGCCCCTGTACTGAAGACATAATACACAGAGAAGTTCTAATGATGATATGCGCTGGAACAGAAATGGTTACTGATAGGTCCTTTGGATCTGTTTCATTCAAAGTTTTCTATATAAGGAAAACCAGTTGATTGCATCGACTCATTGACACGAATGCAATCCCTCTCACTAAGCATGCTTGTAGCGACAGTGGAGAGGAAAACCTCCCTTTTAACAGGAAGAAACTTGGCTCTGTGTGAGTGGCCATCTCCCGAGGCTGATTGGGATTCAAGGAGACAGAAGCAGAAATACAGAAAGAAGCAGAGATACAAAAGGCAGCTGTAAACCAGCTCCACAGGCGGCCCCGTCCAGGAAACACACTGCCAGGGAGACGAGCTCCGAGCCAGCTCCCATGTCAGAGGAGGAAAGAGAGCACATCCAGTTAGTCACAGTGAGAGAAACAGGACTACACTGAAAAACATGCCAGGCTCCAACATCTATAAACAAAGAACACACACAGAACCCTGTCAGAATGTTGTTCTTATAAATGCATAAATACCCTGATTTTTCCAGGTGGGATGAATTTGGACGAGTACTTCCAAAGGATTGGCTTCCAAGGCCCTCATGATAAAGCGGATCTTGAAACCTAGATACAAACTCTAACTCGACTTAAAAGCAATGTAAAATGACTGAAGTACTAAATATGTTTAAAACAAGGTTCACTGTTTGAAATATACTCATATATTTTGCCTTATTTAAATTTCTTTTTTCAAATTTCAAGTGTAAATGCATGTAACGGATGCACAATTTAACAGATTTTATATTTCTCCTGTAATGAAGAGGACTTCCTTGTTTAGTAGGCATTTCTTTTTGAGAGTTTCTTTAATATTGTATCCATACAGTATTACCATGTCGGGACGTTCACTTTTTATTTTTATTATCGTGAAGACTACTAAAACCATGCTAACCTCTAATCATTTTGGCCAACAACAGTCTTATGTGTTTGCACTTATAGCTTTGTATTTCAAGTGTTTTCCTAAAGTTTGGAAGCAAAATGTAAAGTTTTTCTAGATAAAACTAGTATTAAAAAGGCAGTGATGTTAATGTTCCAAATTTGTGTATAACTCCTCTTTAAATCCTTTTCTAGCAATGTTTTATTTTACATGTTTTGATTTCAGTTTGATTTGAAAATATAATCACTTTATAAAACTTTTCTCCCAAATTCCTTGAGTGGATTAATACAGTGTACTAGACTCCTCTTAAACACACCATAGAGTCAGGAGTTAGCTGCTGTGTAAAGCATACTTATACAAAGGTCATTAAATCAAATTTCTTAGCTGTTTTTAGTGGCTGTAAAGCAGCACTTTTTCCTCTCGACCAGATTTTTTTCCTTGCACCAAACTTTCTAAAAAAATTAGCAATAAATAAATCTTTTTGCAAAGCCAGCTTCTTTTGAAATGACCTTTTGTATCTTACCCTGCTTTTGTAAGAAGGTAGATAAGAAAAACTGAATTGTATAGCATCTTTCACAGATAGCAGAATCACAAAGATTTTAAAGATTGTCAGTGACTCTGCTGTGTTCCTTTTTATTGCTTTCGTCATACAGACTTTTCTTCCAATAATCAGTAGGAAATGAACAGATGAAATAAATATCTGAATGAAATGACTGTATGTCGTATGAGTTTCACGTTTTTATAGATTTAGCTTCTCAATGCACCCCTGGACTATGATCCAATTGGAATGTGGAAAGTTTTGTAGAGTCTAAAGTCTGCAGCCTTAGTAAACCTGCAGGTCAAGGTGTGCTGCCGTTCTTGCAACCGTTCTTGTGCGCTAACTGTTTACTCTGTCAGACACTCTCACATGACTTGGCAAACAACCAGCTTATCCAAACGTTGTCAGATATTAAATCTTTACGAATCTGAAGTTTTTCTGTAGTTTTGATTGTTTGACTGAGGTAAGATTGAATAGCTTCTTCTTTTTCTTTCTTTTATTATTGCTTGTATTTATTTTGGAGGATTTCATATTTTTCTTTTGCTATTGAGCAGGCTTTAGGCACATTTTTAAAAGGCAAGTAAAAATGGACCTAATGGATAAATGTAATTTCCTACGTTTTCCAGGTGAAATGAATCTGGACGAGTACTTTCAAAGGATAGGCTTCCAAGGCCCTCATGATAAAGCGGATCTTGAAACCTTGACATCGATCCACCAGCTGCACGTCATGTCGATTCCTTTTGAAAACCTCAGCATTCACTGTGGCGAGTGGATCACCATGGACCTGGAGGTTATTTTCAATAAGCTGGTGAGGAGCAGCCGTGGAGGCTGGTGCCTTGAGAACAACTCCCTGTTTGGATGGATGCTGAGAGAAATGGGCTTTGATGCGACAACGCTGAGCTCCAGAGCTTTCAACAGTATCATCAATGACTTTGGTGCTCTAGATTCTCACCTCATTCACAAAGTTATCATTGACGGGAAGGCTTATATAGCTGATGTTAGCTTTGGAGTGTCTTCCCAGATACGGGAGCCATTGGAGCTCATTTCTGGAAAGGACCAACCGCAGGCAGCAGGGGTGTTTCATCTTATCAATAAGGGGGACATCTGGATGCTGGAGAAGACAGGAAGGAAACCAGAGGTTCTGAATCCAGAATTTCACAAATCCAGCCTGGTAAACAGGAAGGAGACGAAGCAGATCTACTGTTTCACCCTGGAGCCTCGACAGGGCGATCATTTCACCGATAAAAGCCAGAGACTCCAGAGAGACCCCGCCTCCCTCTTCACCAACAAGTCCATCTGCTCCCTGCAAACGCCTTCAGGATTCAAAGCTCTGATTGGCTGGACTTACAGCGAGGTCACCTACAAGCCAGAGGAAGGGGTGGATGTCTTGGACATGAGGAACGTAGCAGATGATGAGATTGATAAAGTTCTATGGGAACATTTTAATGTGAAGCTTCAGAACAAACTAAAGCCTGTATGCAACAAAACATTTTACACTCTTTGATAAAAAAACACTCCGGAGAAGTAGGGAAACCTTTAACTCAACATTTCCACCAAGTTATATGTTATACAATAGATACAAACTCTAACTCTACTTAGAAGCAATGTAAAATGACTTAAGTATTAAATATGTTTAAAACAAGGTTCACTGTTTGAAATATACTCATATATTTTGCGTTATTTAAAATTCTTGTTTCAAATTTTAAGTGGAAATGCATGTGACGGATGCACAATTTAACAGATTTTATTCTTCTCCTGTAATGAAGAGGACCTCCTTGTTTAGTAGGCATTTCTTTAATATTATACCCATACAGTATTACCATGTCGGGACGTTCACTTTGTATTTTTATTATCGTGAAGACTACTAAAACCATGCTAACCTCTAATCATTTGGGCCAACAACAGTCTTATGTGTTTGCACTTATAGCTTTGTATTTCAAGTATTTTCCTAAAGTTTGGAAGCAAAATGTAAACAGTTTGTCTAGATAAAACTAGCATTAAAAAGGCAGTGATGTTAATGTTCCAATTATGTGTATAACTCCTCTTTAAATCTCTTTCTAGCAATGTTTTATTTCACGTTTTGATTTGTTTTGAAATCATAATCACTTTGTAAAACTTTTCTTTTGTCCTAAATTCCTTGAGTGGATTAATACAGTGTATAAGACTCATCTTAAACACACCATATATTCTCTTCAGAGTCAGGAGTTAGCTGCTGTGTAAAGCATACTTATACAAAGGTCATTAAATCAAATTTCTTAGCTGTTTTTAGTGGCTGTAAAGCAGCACTTTTTCCTCTCGACCAGATTTTTTTCCTTGCACCAAACTTTCTAAAAAAATTTAGCAATAAATAAATCTTTTTGCAAAGCCAGCTTCTTTTGAAATGACCTTTTGTATCTTACCCTGCTTTTGTAAGAAGGTAGATAAGAAAAACTGAATTGTATAGCATCTTTCACAGATAGCAGAATCACAAAGATTTTAAAGATTGTCAGTGACTCTGCTGTGTTCCTTTTTATTGCTTTCGTCATACAGATTTTTCTTCCAATAATCAGTAGGAAATGAACAGATTAAATAAATATCTGAATGAAATGACTGTATGTCGTATGAGTTTCACGTTTTTATAGATTTAGCTTCTCAATGCACCCCTGGACTATGATCCAATTGGAATGTGGAAAGTTTTGTAGAGTCTAAAGTCTGGAGCTTTAGTAAACCTGCAGGTCAAGGTGTGCTGCCGTTCTTGCAACCGTTCTTGTGCGCTAACTGTTTACTCTGTCAAACACTCTCACATGACTTGGCAAACAACCAGCTTATCCAAACAGATATTAAATCTTCACGAGTCCGAAGCTTTTTTGTAGTTTTGACTTCTTGACTGAGGTAAGATTGAATAGCTTCTTCTTTTTAAAATTTTTTATTATTGTTTGCATTTATTTTCGGTGGTTTTCAGGTTTTTCTTTTGCTATTGAGCAGGCTTTAGGCACATTTTTAAAAGGCAAGTAAAAATGGACCTAATGGATAAATGTAATTTCCTACGTTTTCCAGGTGAAATGAATCTGGACGAGTACTTCCAAAGGATAGGCTTCCAAGGCCCTCGTGATAAACCGGATCTTGAAACCTTGACATTGATCCACCGGCTCCACATCATGTCGATTCCTTTTGAAAACCTCAGCATTCACTGTGGCGAGTGGAACACCATTGACCTGGAGGTTATTTTTAATAAGCTGGTGAGGAGCAGCCGTGGAGGCTGGTGCCTTGAGAACAACTCCCTGTTTGGATGGGTGCTGAGAGAAATAGGCTTCAACGTCACTACGCTGGGTGCTAGAGTTTTTAACAGCACCACCAACGACTTTTCACCTAGGGAGGGTCATCTTGTCAACATGGTTCAAATTGACGGGAAGGCTTATATAGCTGATGTAAACTTTGGGGTGTCTTCCCAGATATGGGAACCGCTGGAGATTGTCTCTGGAAAGGACCAACCGCAGGCAGCAGGGGTGTTTCGCCTTATCAACAAGGGGGACAACTGGAACCTGGAGAAGACAGGAAGGAAACCAGAGGTTCTGAATCCAGAATTTTCATCTTCCGGCCTGGTGAACAGGATGCAAACATATCAGATATACTGCTTCACCCTGGAGCCCAGAGAAGCACACAATTTCACAGAAACAAACCAAGCTCTTCAAACCGATCCAACCTCTTTGTTCATCAATAAGTCCATCTGCTCCCTGCAAACGCCTTCAGGATTCAAAGCTCTGATTGGCTGGACCTACAGCGAGGTCACCTACAAACCAGAAGAAGGGGTGGATGTCTTTGATATAAGAGACATTACTGAGGATGAGCTCGATCAAGTCCTGAAGGAACAGTTTCATTTAAGGCTGCAGAAGAAGATGAAGCCTGCAAACAAAAAAGCATGCTACACACTTTCGAAAATAACTAGAATACTTTTTAATGACTTGTTTGATAATATACAAGCTGCATTTAATCAGATGTTCATCCTTTGTTTTTATTCAAAATATCAATCATCAAAATGTCAATTCAAAGTCTTGTTTTTTTTATCAATAAAGAAAATTAAATCCAAACAAGTTAATTATTTCCTCCTTTGATGAATTTGTCCACGTGACATATGTCTTTACGCTTCTCAAAGATATATAGTTTGAATATTTTAGTTTAAATTATTAAGGAAAAAATATTTAGTTAGTGTTATTGTTTACAGAGAAAATGTAAGTGCAAATATATTTACTTATAAAAAAAAATTATAAAAAGCAATTAATTTACCATGATATTTGTCAAATATAAACGGTAGATGGTGAATATATATATATATACAAAGAAAACTAAAATGTTTTACCAAGTTCAAATATTACCAGTACCAAAACAAGCAAAATTCGTTCAAATTACAATATCTGTTTTCCAAAGAATTTCAGTGAAAAGGAAGAAAAAATATAATTACCTATGAGCACAAAAGATGGTTGAAAGCTTTATTTTTTTCTCCTACGACAGCATTTTGAATGAATAACCTCTTATTTTCCTTGAAAGTGTACAAAGTTCGAAAAATACAAATCAAAGGAAAATCGGGCATTAAAGTCTGAGATTTAATTTAGCACTATACAGCGCCATCTGCTGTTCATGTGTAGATATTACAAGTCAGGGCAGAATATCTGCGTTTGGTCCCGCCCTTTAAAAGCTTTTCATCCAATCAGTTTATAGTTGGGGATTTACCCAATTCTGATTGGTCAGAAAGCCCGTCCTTCATGTTAGAGGAAACAGAGGCATAACCAAACAACGAGTAGCTTCTTGGCGAGACAGAGATGAATTCCTTGGAGCAGGCCGAAGGTAACAAACAATTAAAGCGGGTTATTTTCACCTTGATTTGTAACCCCTTTAAGCTTCCTACTGTGTTTTATGTATAAGAAATAAATAAAAAAGAAAAAATACATTAATTTTCTTGTCAAGATGGAAACCCGGCATGAGGAGTTGCTAGTTTTATTAGCATACTTGCTAGCCTTGCGTGGAATTTTTCTGTCGTTTCCCTTTTAGTTGACATTTGCATATTTTAACATCTGTTCTGTGATACAAGCAAAAAAGTGGGAGATTTGTTTTGATAAAAACATTTAAGTTGTGTGCTGTTTAAGCTTAAAAAAAAGAAATAAAATTGTGCTAAACTGAATACTTTTATTTGTGCATGATAGCAAAGTTCCTGTTGCCTTACAGTCATATAAATAAAAGATTTAAGTCCCTACATCATCGATGCTCACTATAACGGTTTTTAATGTGTCCCTTCATTCAACAGACCTGAAGGCGTTTGAGAGAAGGCTGACCGAATATGTCTCATGTTTACAACCTGCAACAGGCAGGTGGAGAAGTGAGTACCTGTTATTACTGACCTGAGGTCTGTCAGGGTGGGAAGGGACTTTCAAAGCAATGGCTTCCTATTTCTATTAATCACTTTCTACAATTAACCAAAAATATTAGTAGAAAAAGACCCCCCAAATGGGGGGGATTGTGCCAAGATCTAGTCACCTTTAGAGGAACAGGGGATTAGAAAGGTAAATATTCTGCTACTTTGGGAGTGTTGAAGAGTAGATGGGTCTGCCTTTAGTCATTAGGAGCGGTTCTGTACTAACATGTTTCCTGCAACCATATTTGTTTAAACTAGAGATGTCCCGATCCAGGTTTTTGCACTTCCGATCCGATACCGATATTGTTTTTGGACTTCCGATCCGATACCGATACTGGCCGATACCAGCCTATCCGAGCATGTATTTAAGTTTAAGTTAAAGTATTTAGCCTTAGTTGTAAGACTCATGTTGAAAAGGGTTTTAGTACTCTTGATAACATCTAGCCAGCTAAATTAGGTGAGATTGAATAAAACACAATGCTTGGTAACAACAAACTTATCTGTTTATTAAGAGATAAACACAAACTGGACAAAATTATGAATAGCAATCTGAAATTGCACAGTGAGCAGTAAAACCGTAAACAGTTAAAGGTGCAAGTATTACTGTAAGTTTTAATAAAAATGCAAAACAGGGGAACACTGGCGCAAAATAGTGGAATGGATCGTTTCAATCGGCGAAACTGGAAAATACGGAACGGATTTTTTTTTAAAACTGGATCGGCAGTCTGGATCGGCATGTTACATGCTTTGCCGATACGCATTTTTTTGCCAATATCGGCGTCCCGATCGGGACAAGCCTAGTTTAAACCCTGATGCTCACATCCATACTGGATGGTTTTATAAATCATATTTTGAAAATTGGATGACGCCTCAAATGTAAACTAGTTTTCAAAACTGGTTTAGCTTATAATGACCTTTAAAAGCCTTTCAATTGATACAAATACCGGTATTATAAATGCTGATGGAGATTTAAAAAAAACAAAACAAAATTCTAATGGGATTTATGTGCTTTATTTTACATTAAAACCTGTAAAAAATATATTTTTTATAGATTTAAGTTGTTCAAATGTTTACCTTAGGGCAGGGGTCTTCAATGTTTTCCAGGCAAAGAACCCCTAACCTGATGGTGAGATGGAGGGGGAAAACCTAATTATATCTATTGTATGAAATAGTGTTCTATCAAACTGGTCCCATAGTCACTATATTACAGATGAAGTAATGTAACTAAAGTAATTTCTCCCTGAGATTATTAAAATATTTCTGATTCTGATTCCTGGTTGATGGGGCAGGTGTTGTGAACGAAACGGTGCCCAGTTTAAAAGAGATCTTGTGGGTTGCTGAATGTGTTCATTGATGACTGAAAGACATCTGCCTCCATTTATCTTTTTACTACAGTGTGTTGGATTCATGTTAATGTGTATTTAAAGACATATTAATAAAAAAAAAAAAATCTGGACCACGAAGCCTTGATTGGTTTCATTCTATTTAAATTATAATCCCATGTAGTGGAATGGCTCCTGCTTTGTATTTATCATTTAATGAACCGTCAGGTGGTGGTGCATCACTAAAACACTTGCAGCCGATCAGCAATAAACTCTACGGTGCAATGTTCTAACCTGGTTGTTTTTTTGTTTTTCTTTTTCCCAGTGATTTTGATAGTCGTGTCTGTTTGCACAGCCACAGGGGCTTGGAACTGGTTGATAGACCCAGACACTCAAAAGGTTTGTGTTACCAAGAGAAGAAAGCTTAATTCAGGAATACATTTTCACAGCTGCTTCTCGCAACAATTAAAAAACATTAGTTTGCAATACTTAAAGGAGCTTTTTCCAAGTGTAAAGACTAAATATTACTTTTTTCTTTCCCATACATGCCCTTACAATTGCCCGACGTGTAAAACGAGCCTCCCTGTATGTACCGCTCCATTAGTCAGTTCATGAGAGGTGATTTATTATAAGACAACAGGACTCTAAACACTAATTCACAAAAGTCTTTATTTCAAGTTGTCCCCAGACAGGCAAAACTTTCACCTTTATATTTAAGCCATGCTCCTTTAAGCCTTGATTTATGAATTTAAAATCAATCCTTTTTTCTGTTGACATCAAGGTCCCATGAGATTGTTAGAGGAACAATAAACCGACAACTGGAGGTAGCAACTACAAACCACTACCAGGTCGGCTACAAAATGTCATCTTATTGTGTTGTTGGTTGCCTGGATAAACAGACTGTAGGCAACTTAAAATTTTACGGTATACCTGCTGCTACAGCCAGTCGCAAAAACGGACATCAGCTGTGGTTACATGCAATAAAACGAGCTAACTGGACAGGAACATATCATTAAAATTTCTTTCATATGCATGGCACACTTCATATCCGAAAAAAAAAGCTAAATAATCTTGCAATTCACTGTTCAGTGGCATCTGTCTGCCTCCAGCTATGCCCTGCCCACAAAATACGTCACAATGATTATCAAGTGAAAAGGGGTCAATATGCAAATAACTTTAAGCTATTTTATAGTGGATCTTTTTTACCTAACCATATAAGATTTCAGCGTTAATCTAAATCATCCTTCCAAATGCTGCTTCTCTCCCTTCTTGTCTTGCAGGTTTCTTTTTTGTCATCACTTTGGAATCATCCCTTCTTCACCATCAGCTGCATCACCCTAATAGCCCTCTTCTTTGCTGGGATACATAAACGGGTGGTAGCACCCTCGATGTATCCTTTTTCTGCGCCAGTGAAAATAATGTTTTTAAAATATTACAGGTTGATTTTTTTTTTTTCTTTGACTCCCGTTTCTTCAGAATTGCTGCCCGCTGCCGCACAGTTTTAGCAGAATACAACATGTCCTGTGATGATGTAAGCTTGTCAATCCCTGGGAAATCTATAATTTGGGTTAAGTGTTTGCATTTTTTGCCTAATATTGTATTGAAATTTCTTGACAGACGGGAAAACTCATTCTCAAACCTCGACCAAACATTCAGTAACTACCGCTCAGGACGCTCTGGTGGTTTTCATCAATGGATGACCGTCCTTTGAGGCGTCTGAGCATCAGCGAGAGGACGGTGAAGAAGATTTCATCATCGTGATCATTTAGAATGAAGAAACGGACCGAAAGGGTTTTTAAAAAAAAGAAGTTTGGCCGCGATATTACTGAAGCTCCTGATCTCACACAACCCTTGATGTATTTTACATTTTTGAGTTTAGATGTTTTTTGTTTTTTTGAAGTCGAGCATGTATTTTATCTAAATGTTTCTATTTTTAAATTTATTTACCTAATAAACACACAGAGTGTGGAATTTCCTTATTCCTTGTCTTGTGTTTTCTCAGGTTATATCTAAACAATATTTAAATAAAAAACAGAAGTTTATAAAGTTACTTTTTAGAGCACTGCATTTAGATTTGCAGACTATATTCATTTTTTTAACACCAGAATATGATGCTATTTTAGCATAATTGTGTGTAATTAGCATACTAGCATAACTGTATTTACTTAAACTGAGATGCGTAACTATTTACTCAGTTACAAGAATAACCGTTCGGGAATAAAATGAAAAATAATTCCACACCGTTTTTCTTCTACTTTAAAAAATGTGTTTTTTTTCGTCATGATAACCTGCCACTCACAACATGGCCGACGTAATAACACGAAGAAGCAACCAGAGTTGCGACAGCGTCACTGCCTGCTTTCCGGCAGTCTTCCTTTCCCACATGGTTCCAAGCTAACGTGGAGCTGCTGTGTTTTGGAGGCTGGTCCCCAACTAACCGGACTGAAAACCACAGACGGATATTTCGCCACATGAGAGCTTAAGGTCAGAGAGAAATGGGTAAAACTAAAACAGCCAAGTTTAAACGGCCGCAGTTCAACTCTGTGGGCCTGCCGGTGAGCGCCGTGAACGAAGCGGACGGTCCGGAGGAAGAGCTCGATGAGGACAGCTGTCCTGCTGCTGAGCTGCTGGAAAAAGTAGGAGCATGAAGTTTGATTCATCAAACCCTCTGAGCCTCTGTAAGGCTGAGCTTTATCCATTATATACTAGGTTCTATTATAAAACGCTGTCATTATGTCTGGCAATGTGTGAAAATATACACATCTATAATAGTGCCATAAATTATATAGTTGCATCGTCTGTCTACTAGGAATATTCATGCCCATTTATTATAATTTAGTTACCTTTTTTGTTTGTTTTATCGACGTGACATATTGACTTTTACACTAGTTTAAATTAAATGAATATTTAGTTTTAACATAAATGATTTAATTTTCACTTGTATGCTTTATCTTAGATTTAACGCTAATTTTGTCTCCTCTTTTAATAGTTTCCCCTCCAGTCTTTTAAACCACTTTTGTACACATCATAATGTTTATCCCCCCCTTTCTTTTCTTTTTAAGATGGTAATAATGAAAAAATGTTGTGTTGGGTAGAGGCAGCTGATATCACTCTGTCATGCTGATAAGAAACAGCTGAATTGTATCACACTATGTTGCATCTTTCATATTTGTCCCACGGTTATCAATGAAACTCATGTATTTATTGAGTAATTAACACATTTTATTACTTTAGGACATCCAAAAATCTTCTACCAGTGGGGATTAAACAAACTGATCTTTTAGCCACCAGTTTCAGATGTGATTGCTTCTGCTTTAAAAACAAAAAATGTGAACTCTACTTGTTTGTTGGAAGGGTAATAAACAAAACCAGATTTTCTCTCCAGGAAAAACTAAGCCAGCGTTGGATGAGCACTCTAATACTTTTACACGTTGTTGACCGTTTTTTCCTCCCCGATCTTTACTAAAAACACTGCAGAGAATAAATAATTTCTAAACGCCTTCCTAGATCAGCTCCAGCCAGCCGTCAAGAAGAAACCCGGTGACAATCTGCATATTTTTCAGTTTGGTAGAGCAGGAAGTTTATCTAAACATAGAAGCTTTGGGTCCAAAGCCTGGGACAATCGCTATGCATGACGATAAAACAACTTCTGCTTTGTTTTGTATAAACTTGTGTTTCTTGATTAAAGCTTTTCAAACCTGTGAAATGAGTCACAGATGTTTGGCCTCTGTTCTGCATTTGGACATCTATTTGTGCTTTAGCAGGAAAAAGAAAAGCTTCAAATTCATTATGCATGTTAAGTTATTCTGCTCTGATTCACAAAAACAAAACAATTTAACAGCCTGTATTTGGGTTTTTTTCTCCAGTTGCAGAGTCCCAGTGCAGACATTCGAGAGTTTGCCTGTGCCAGCATCTCTCGGGTGGTGCAGCAAACCCAGACCATCCCTGGTTTCCTTCAGAGGGACGCTGTCAGACGGCTGGGCCCCATGCTGCTGGACGGCAGCTTGGCCGTCAGAGAGACAGCTGCTGGGGCGCTCAGGTGAAGTAGCTGACTGCAGCGCAATATCTGTTTTTTAATCACTTATTTCAGCCCTGAAGAAAACTCAAAGTAAATGATCAGAGTTTCATGGTCAGAATCCACTTCTTCTTCTGGCAGGGTTACCATGATGGAGGTTTTTAGCCTCCCCTTCACACTGGCCGAAAAACCAACTTAAACCCGGGAGCAATGGGCTTTTAGTGGCAGTGGGAACAACTCACTGACACGTGTCTACCCAGGTCAAACAAATAGGTAGGCGACCAGCGTTAGAATTGCCTCGCCTCTGAATGCAGAGATTAAAGTATTCCGGTTAGTAGCGATTGCCAGTGGGTAAAAAAAATCAATCGAAAATAAATTGACAGTAAATGAATTTTAAAAAACACAATCGAAATCCTTCTTGCGTTTGTCAGCCAAAAGTAGCAAAGGAGCGCTCTGAAACTAACAGTATTAGCCAAACAGAAGAAGAAGGGGGCGGGTGCTGTTTGTGTGTTTGCCGGGGGCTACGGCAACAGCCGATGTACCAGCGTCAATAACTGACCATGTATGAGAGTTAAAAATACGAGTTTGTGATTTCCTCGAACATGACCTGTCATTCACATCAGATATAGATGCGCTTTTGCCATCTTCTGGCCGCTTTTGGTATTGGATTTTCAAAAGTCAAATTTAGTGTTCAGTCATTCATGCAATCTCTGATCCCATGCCCCCACACCCTCCTGGCATGGCTTGAAAATGTGTGTGTGTGTGTGTTAAGGATGGGACGGTTTATGAAAACCGTCCGAACCGTTCGGTTCGACTGTCTCTGTTCGGTTCGCGTGTGTTTCGAAGCGTTTACACTCCAGAGCAGAAGGTGGCGGTACTGCGACCAAAGCCAACCACCAGTAGTAAACAAGAAGGAGAAGCGAAGCAGCGTAGCCGGGTGTAGCAGGGAAAAAAATGAGTTGTTGTGGAGAATTGTGTGGGTATGGCGAGTGGGAAAGAACAGGAGTTGGAAGACGCGCCAGCAGCACTTTATAGGTCTGCTGTATGGGACCACTTTGCATTTAGAGTGACCTACGATGACGGCCGAAAGAAAGTTGTGGATAAAAGTGCAACAGTGTGCAAGCATTGTGCAACACGTTTTGTTTATGCTAACAGCAACATGACCAACATGTCAGGCTAACAATCAACATATACCGAACCGAAAACCGTGACCACGGAACTGTGAACCGAACCGTGGATTTTGTGAACCGTTCCACCCCTAGTCTGTGTGTGTGTGTGTGTGTGTGTATATATATATACATAAGTTTCCTGCTGTGTTGAAAAGGTTCCGGCTCAGGATTTTTTTTCTTTAATCCCTGTTAATGGCATACTGTGGGAACAGCAGAGCCGGATGGACCTGCTAATTTACGTGATACTATTAAACGCAACGTACGGACGTCAGCACTCCGTGCCACGGTTGATATAAGAAGCAGTAACAACTCTCTTTGGGTTCCATAAACATGAAGCAGCACTGGTGGGAGGGATTTTGAAAGTTAATACAGTGAAACAATAAAGCATACTGACTATGCCCTGGCTTCCTTACATGTTGCTCGCCATTGTTTACTTTCCTGATTTCTTTCTCACTTGTTAGACTTTCTCACTGGTTAGACTCCGCTTTTTTTGCCAGTGGGAAGGGAACCGTATGCCGATTGTTAGAAGGTCGATCCATTTTTAAAAAACACGCGCTAACCTGGTATTTTCAATAGGAAAGTGGCTTAAGAAGGGCAGCTCATGCTGTGGTGTCTTTGCTCTGTGACTCATATGGGATCTCTGAAGTTTCTGATGAGTGTTCGTCTCCCCACAGAAATCTGAGTGCATGTGGAGGTCAGGAGGTGTGCGAGGACATGGTGAAGCACGATGTCATGACGCCGCTGATGATGCTGCTTCGAGAGGTGAGACACCACTGCCGCTTACAGCTCACTCCATCTTAGCTGCTATTTGTCATCAGGCTGTTATAACTAGGGTTGGGAATTGAAAAGATTTTCACGATTCCGATTCCCTTTTCGATTCTATGAAACGATTCGATTCTTAATCAATTCTTTTTTCGATTCCAATTTGGGGGAAAAAGGAGAACAAACAGTTTGATTATCAGAATCAACTTTGTTTACTTAACTATTGCACAATCTTACAAACTCAAAAAGATCAAGATGTCCACAGGAAATGTGAAACTGGAGTAACATCTGTGTTTAAATGAAAAATGAATACAAGAACAAACTTAAATAACAACAATGTCTAATAACAAATGATGGGATAATAACCTTTTTTAAATAACAAAAAATACTAATTATAAAACAGTAGTAGGGAAAATTAACAGTTCTTTTGTAGAAAGATGAGCATATCTGCTTTTTCTGGAAGGATACGGGATCTCTCAGCACTTAAGGTGTCTCCAGCCGTGGAGAACACCCTCTCAGATGGGGTGGAGGAAGCCTGCACACAGAGGTAGTTTTCAGCCAGTCCAGATAGCAAGGGCAGCGTATCTTGCTTGTTCCACCACCACAGTGTGGCGCTATCCCTGCAGGGGATGGAGGGCAAGCTTTTATAGAGCTGGATTTCCTGATCTACCCTGTGGGCTAAGGAAAGACGGGGCTTTGATTCACAAAGTGACCGCAGCTCGTTGTCTTCCTCCTCGAATAGTTCTTCCAACTTGCGTAAGTTGCGTAACTTGCGTAAGTTGCGTAACCTACGTAAAAAAACGTGACGTAAGTCGTGCTCCCCAGAGCCGGCGCTCTCGGCTCTGGTGCTGCGGGAATCGAAAAAAGAATCATTCAGCGAGCTGCCAAACGATGCCATGGAATCGGAAAATACGGAACCGGTTCTGAACAGGAACCGGTTTTCGATTCCCATCCCTAGTTATAACTGCAGGAAAGAGGTCCAGTGGTTCTCTTTTAGATTTAACTGGTTGAAAGTTTTGATCTATTGTCCACCTCTAGAACATAAATCAATTCCCTATTAAGATGTGTTATGAACCAGTTTAAAACAAATATTTGTGTCCACCTGCTGGTCTGCTGATGTTAGGGTCAGATTTCTGTTTTCTTTCCAGTGTTGTGCTGGTTTTGACACTGCAGCTGTGGCGATGAAAGAGCAGAGCAATCCTGTGGAGGATGTGGCCAACGAGGCCGTGAACCTGCTGTGGAATCTCTGGTAAGCTATCCGGGTTTTTTCCCTTCCTGGTATAGATGTTGCTGCAGTAAGTCCTATTAAAGACAAACAGGCCCACAGCATCACGGATCTTCTACCATGCTCAAAAAGACAAAAATATTATTGTAGTCCCGGTTTTTTTCTAGCTCAGGGGACTGCAACCTTTACAATCTCAAGAGCCAATTTGGACTTCAGTCTAGCTAATAAAACTTTAGAGCTGCAAACATTTCCAGGTCTTTATTTTATTATTTTTTATTTTTTTTTTAAATGATAACTCATTTGACAAATATCTACCAAAAGTTGGTGATATTTTTTGGAAAATTGTGCTTGGAAAAAACATTTTCACAAAAGATCTAAAATTTATTTCTAATATAATTGGTTGAATTATTTTGTGAGTATAGAAAAGATTTTAGTCTAGTCTAGCTAACAAAACTCATTTACAAACATGTTCCCCTTTTTAACAAAAATATGTTATATGTAGTCAATATCTACCATGGAAAATGTGTCCCTTTTAAATAACCACAGTGCCTAGGTTTTGAATTAAAGAAAGAAAGAGAATAAAACAATTTCCACAGGTTGCTGCTATTTTTGGAGAAAAAAAGAAATATTTTCTCCACTTGTATCAAAAAAATATAATTCTGTTAAATTACAGTAAATTTTTTGGGGGGACTTTAAAGGAATAGTACACCCAAAACATGATTAGCCTTCATTTTCTACTCACCCCCATGCTGAACAACACTCTGGAGTACTTTTTTGATATCTCAAATGCATCTGGAGATCTGGGAGGCTTCTTGCTGTCTGCTGACATTCAAATAATGGAGGTCTATGGCGCCCGAGGCAGAAAGGTCCATAAAAGTCCACAAAAAACGTGTCAATATTCCTCCATACTGCTCGTCCAATGTATTCCAAGTGTCCTGAGTGGGTAGCATCCAGAATTTACTCGAAACGAAGTCATTTAGAATGTTTTAGAGCATAAACAGTAGTGTATAGGATTTCCTGAAAGCGCGTTCACGAGTCTACGGAAACCGCGGCAGACCAAACCAGATGAAAGTGCGCATTCAGCTCGGCAAAGAACTCATGCTCTTCCTCAACACTGAAGTCCTCAGACATTTTTTTCGTTGTTTCTGTCTTTGCACAGGTAAACAGCACATTTCTTCTTCTACGCTTGCATTATCGGCAGAGCAGACGCTGAATGCGCACTTTCATCTGGTTTGGTCTGCCGCGGTTTCCGTAGACTCGTGAACGCGCTTTCAGGAAATCCTATACACTACTGTTTATGCTCTAAAAACATTCTAAATGACTTCGTTTCGAGTAAATTATGGACGCTACCCACTCAGGACACTTGGAATACATTGGACGAGCAGTATGGAGGAACATTGACACGTTTTTTGTGGACTTTTATGGACCTTTCTGCCTCGGGCGCCATAGACCTCCATTATTTGAATGTCAGCAGACAGCAAGAAGCCTCCCAGATCTCCAGATGCATTTGAGATATCAAAAAAGTACTCCAGAGTGTTGTTCAGCATGGGGGTGAGTAGAAAATGAAGGCTAATCATGTTTTGGGTCTACTATTCCTTTAATACAACAAATCAGTGGAGAAAATGCTGAAACATGCATCTGTTAGCGTAGCTATATTTCCTTTTTTTTTTTTTTTTTTTTTTTTTTTTTTACAGTGTCCTGTCTGGCAAGGTGGCAATAAGAATAATTGTCTTGATGCCAAAAGGAGCCCAACAGATTTTACTTTCACAAGTGTAGCGGTATCGCAATTGCCATACCGCTCCACTTGTTTCATGTATATAAATTGCTTTATTATAATTATGCAGGGAGTTTTACAGTTCATATGGACACTGCAATGTAAGTAGAGCAGAAAAACAGAAGAAGAAGAAGGAAAAAGAAAAAGAAAAAAACAGGACAAAAGATGAAAGAAAGAGGAGATAGGAAGGAGACAATGACAAAACATTTTCAGTCTGCTTCAACACCTGTAATGAGATGGAGAAAAAAAAAAAAAAAAAAAAAAAAGAACAGCACAACCAAAAAACATGGTACGAGATATACAATAAAGCAAACACCTTGAAACTATCACTAAAGTAATATTATTAAGTCTGACATGTACTCTGTGTTACCTGAAGATATGAATGTGGGGTTTCTGTTTGGAAGTGAATCTCTAAGTACCTGAAGCCTAGCACCTGTAGTTGTTTGTGAGGGTGAACTTGTGCATGTAAAGTTTTAACCATAGAAAAAAAATGCTGAATAGTGGTTGTGGAGAGCCGGAGAGGCACACCCCCCAGAGCACTGAGTCCAGCGCCGGGAGACCCAAAGCCCCAGGCGCCCAAGGGGACCCCAGAAGCGAAGGCACCAAGGCGGGGCCAGCCCCGGAAATCAGACCCCACCAAGGCAGGAGGAGAGACAGCCACGAGGAAGCCCCCCAGCCACCGCCATGCCGGCGCCCCGGGGAGCCGCGGGGACGAGTCCGCGGGCCCCGCCGGCAGCCGGCCACCCCGAAGTAGGGCCGGGCGCCGAACACCAGCCCCCCCACGGCGCCGACCGAAACGCCCCAGCCCCACAGAGCACCGAAACACGCCCCGCCCCCCCGCACCAAGCCCCGGCGACCGGCCGCAACACCCACCGCGACCGCACCACCCAGGAAAACACTAAGACGGCCCCGCCCCCGGCCGGGGCCCATGCGCATCCGCCGCGAACCGGCCACGAGCGCCGCGGGACCCCCCCCAAAACGCCCCCCCGGCCAAAAGCGCAGCCCCACCCCACCAAGACCGATGCCAACAGCGCGCAACGAAACACACCGCGCACAGAATCACCCCGAGAGCAGAAAAGCCGCCCGGCGCAAAACCGCAAGAGGAGCAGACCGCAGCCGGCGCAACCACCCCCCCCAGCAGCCCGAGGGGCAGCACAAAGCCAGAGCGGAGCGAACCGCGCCGCCCCCCCACCGGACGATGCCAAAGCAGCCCAGCCACGTCCGCCACCCCCCCCGCAGCCCGCACCAGGCCCCGACACGCGGCCAGAGCAGCTCCGCCGCCCCGGCCCCCCACCACGCGCCGGTCATAGCCACCCCAGGCCCACACCCGCCCCGCAGCCCCACCCGCCGCGATCAGTGGGAACAGAGCAGCCCCGCCATGCCTCCAGGAGGGAAAACCCACCCGAATACCCAGCCAGCGCAGCCAGCCCGCCCAGACCGGCCCCCCAACACTACCCCCGCCGGAGCCGCCCGGACCCCCACACACCAGCGGCGCGCCGCCAGCAGGACCCCCACCCAGCAGGCCCGCCTGCCCCCCGAGAAAACAGACATGCCAAACCCCCCAAAGAAAAAAAGAGAAAAAAAAAAAAAAAAAAAAAAAAGGGGGCCCCCACAATGCGACAACGGACACCAGACACCGACCCGCCCGCAACCGCTCCCCCCCACCGAGGAAGAGAAAAAAAAAAAAAAAAAAACAAAAAAAAAAAAAAAACAAATAAATAGGTAAATAAATAAATTAATTAATAATTACAATTAAAATAAATAGGCAAGAGGAGAAGTGCGAGCGGAAAAACCGGAGCCCAAAACAGGACCCAAGACCCGCACCCCACCATGCCGCGCAGCTCCCCCCCTCCCCGAACCGATACCACAGAACCGGCATAGGAAAGAAACACCGCCCAGGAACCGGCATCGTAGCGAAGGCACCGGCACCGACCCCGAAAATCCCCGAACAACACCCAGCCCCACCCCGAAGCGGATCCAGTCCCAGGCCCCAGGGATCCGAGGCCCCAAGGGCACCCCACCCCCAGACAGGAGCCCCAGCAAAGCCCCGGCCGGCCGGGGCCAGTGGAGAGGCCGCCAGGAATGAGCCAGCAGTCCCCCGGGCATCCACCCCCAGCTCCACCAGTGCACCGGTGAGCCCCGACGCCAGCCAGCGGAGGGAGAGCAGGACGGGGGGAATGGGCTCCGCACTTAGCGGAGACTTGAGATGTATTTGGGAGAGGGTGCGGTTGAGACCCCAACCTGGGAGAAAAAAAAAAAAAAACACACCATCTCAATCATGCCTTCCCTCCCTAGTGCCCCCACTCGTACCACAGGAAAAAAAAAAAAAAAAAAAAAAAATTGAATAAAATAATAATAATAATAAATAAAGAAAATAACAACGCAGACACACATTCACACATAACACTCACATCCAATAATACCAGGACCAAAAACCCGGTGACACCGGTGGTCGGTCCCGGGACTATCGGATGACCCCATAAGTGAACCTAAAATCCGGATGTGAGGGGAGGGGAGCGGCGACACCGCCACACCAACCCATCTCTTTCCTGCTTCAAGCCCGGCCCCCCACCCCGCACACGGACCGGACCACCCCCCGCAAGAGCCCCCCCCGGGACCGGGGCCCACCCATCCCGCGCCGGCCACCCAACCAGAACCGCCCCCCCCCCCCCCCCCGAAAAGAACAAAAAAAAAAAAAAAAAAAAAAAAAAAAAAAAAAAAAAAAACCTTCAACCAGGCACTTCATGCCCCTCCATCCAACCTTCTTTGGGGAGAGCAGAGGTGACAGCCCCGCCACCAGCAGGCCACCTAGGCCCCGCAGCCAGCCCCAGCCAAAACCACGGACCAGGTGGCCCGCTCTTCCTCCAGGCCCCAGACTCCAGGCGGCAGCCGGAGAACAGGGGTGTGAGAAGACCCCGATCCTCACTGCGCCCGCTCGAATGTGGTGTTGTTGCGTGTTGCTCTCAGATGCAATTAAAACTGGGAGTACCAAGAGGGGGTGTCCGGCACACTCCACCCCCCCTCCAGGAGATAGACGGTGCCAGCACACCCTCCCCCTTCGACAACCCTCAACCCTCAATGTCTAGATGCGAGAGGGGATGGAGGAGGCCGACCGTGGTGAGGCCCATAAAATAAGCCCCCCCCCGGTGGCCCTGACCCCCACCCCCCGAAAATGCCCTACATAGATGTGTGTTGTGAAAATGATGTAGATGGAAGTGTCTAAAATGCAAAATAAAATTGGGGTGGGGGACGTCATCAGAAGGTGTGGCCCTCCAGTAACGACCCCCTCCCCAAAAACCTACATGTGTGGCCGAGTGATGGAGCAGGCAGAGGGAGGATTTCGGGGATGGGGAGCAAAGGACTGGGGTGCCTGCTGCACTCCCAGGGAGCCAGCTCCCCCGCTGACTCCAATAGGCACCCCCGTTCCCCGAGAGCCCCCCCAGAGAAGGGGGCCCCACCAGTTTCACCACCATAGCCCGGGGGCACGGGACCGGCAGCAGGACCCACCAGCCAGCCGGGCACGGAGCCGACTCCACCACCCCCCCCCCCGTCCTGTCCATCCAAAAAAATAATAATAATAAAAATAATAAATAAATAAATAAGTAGATAAATAAATAAAATAAAAAAAAATAAATAAATAAATAAATTAAATAAAAAAAATAATAATAAAAAAATAAATAAATAAATAAATAAATAAAAAAATATAAAAGGAAGATAAGAAAAAAAATAATAATAATAAATAAATAAATGAATAAGGGAAGGGACAATCCCAGCCGGCCAGCCAACGCGCAACACGCAGAGCCCCCACCCCGGACGAAGCCCCACCAGGGGGCAGCACGGACCAGGACCAAGACAGGGAGCCAGACCCAAAGCCCTTCAAAGATCTTCTTCCCTCTATCACCACCCCCCACCCCCCCCTCCGGAGATGTAATCCCTCCCCTACAATAACAATCAAGCTACTCACCACACAAGCGACAGAAGACATCCAGGCCGAGATCATACCTACTCCCCCTCCCTCCCCTTCCCCCACTTACAGAGTGCAAACCCGTGAGGGGGTAAGCACTTGCCATAGGTGTTAATGTCCATGCCCCCCCCCAGCCCAGCAGGCCCCGAGGCACCCCGGCACACCAGAGGCCGTGGCAGCAGGGACAGACAGCCAGGCGTACACCGGCCCAGAACCCAAGCAGCACTCCCCACAGAACCCGAACCCCCGAACCCCCACCGGGGACCCCGCCCAAGGGCAATGCGCCCCAGGGATCCCAGGCCCAAGGAGCCACCCCAGACCCACCCCGCAGTAGGGCCGGGCAATGCCCAAAAACCCCCGGCTCCGGCGCCAGCACCCCCACCCCGATCCCGGCCCCCGAACGACTCCCCCCAACACCGGTCCCACAGCACCAATCCGAAGAAGAAGAAAGCCACACAACACAGCTAAGCGCAAATCCCGAGCCCCACTCCAAGCCCCGATCCCCCCGCCCACACACCCCCTCCCACACAAAAAACAAACAAAAACAAAAACAAAAAAATTATAATATTCTCCCCCTCACCGGAGAAGAACGGCCGCAAACAAGCCAGTGCCCAACACCCACCGCCACACCACGAGGACCCCTCCACCCAGATGCTCCTCCCCAGCGTAGCTATATTTCCAAAAATGATCTGACTCTTCCTCATTTTTAGCCAAAGGGATGAAGGGTCTTTGTTAAGCACATAAAGCTCCAAAGGTTGCAGACCCCTGGCCTGGGCAATATTTATCTTTTAGACATTTCGCTTGCAGGAGTATTAAGAATAAAATCCGATGCTCCTTCAAGGAGTTTGATCGCCTCTATAAATATGCTGCTCTTTAACAGTTGGTCTCACTCACCTGTCATCCTTTTAGCGAGAACAGCGGTCAGGCGGTGTCTTTGTTCAACAAATCCGGGCTCTTGGATGTGGTGGTCCAGTGTTTGGAGAGACACCATCACAACGTGGAGCTGGCCGTATCTGCTGGTAGGTCTGAAAGAGATAGCATGATATCAGTTTATGCTGCTGAACAACAGATTTACATTAAAAAAAGATCAAATGTGTTTACAGCTGCTTTTATTTTAACCAGCTTGCAAAAAAATTTTTATTTTTATTTTTTATCAAATTATATCCTAAAGAAGAAAATTCATCTGAATCTTTTTTTGTTTTTCTTTTTAAAGGCTTAAAATGCAAATAAACTGTTGGTTGTTTATAATAGCAACACGTTTCCTGTAGCAGGTATTTAACAAATATAACAATATTTGGATTTCAAGTTGCGGTTTAGTCCTTTGATTGAAAGGCCAGAGGAAGTGGGTTTTTATTCAGCTGTTTTAAGCCAATTCTATTTCCTCCAACTGAAGTTTGGCCGAAAAGAAAGATGACAGTAAAGATGTGGTGATAGCTGCGCTTTTAAACAGTGTTGTTTTCGTCAACGGTGATAAAATTATTTAATTGACGCTCCTTTCTTTCATGACGATAATGAAAACTGATGAGCTAAACATAGATCTTTAATGACGAAAACATTATGACTCGTAGGTGAGAGTTTTCGTCAACGACGACGTTTAAAATGCATCATTGTGCTGTAATCTGTTAAACAAGCTAATCAGTATCAGCCTTGTTGCTACGTCCTGTTTGGTGACGCAGCCTAGCTGGCGTGCAGCAGTGCACATTCTGCATGACCAAAGATGGACCAATGCAGCACCGGCAGGGGTTAAATAAGCCGAAATAGTCTGGTATTGCGCACTGAACTCTAACAAACTGCTCTTCCAGCTGTGCTTGTGCAGAAATTTTTCTTTGTGAGCACTAAGTCCGAGGCCACGCTTTGCTCTCCAAAATGAACGTTGGCTCACAGCAGTATGGCTCCTCATGCTCACACTACTTAATAAACTATATGTGGTTGATCATTAATAGTTTTTGTCGTAAGACTAAATCTAAGATGACTGTTGAAAACAACAATTCTTTTAAAGGTGCATAGTCAGATTATATTCCTATAAGTAAAAACCATTGGATATGAATAAAATAAGGTAGTTCTTATATAAAAGTCCTTTTGAAGAGCAGATTTTCTTTCCCAAGGACCCATCAGCTGCTGCTTCCAGTTCAAATCCCAGGCTGATATTAAAGGACTGGATGTTGCACGTTGGTCAAAGTTGGTTGTAGCTTTTTTGGAGCTGATGTTCTCCTAATGTTACCATTAAAAACAGGATCAGGCTAAATAAGGATAATAGTCTGAGAGTCAGGTGTGTTTGGTTTTATCTCTGTAGATTTTAAGCCCAGAGGATTTTCAGAGCAACCTTTTCATGAAATTACGTATCTGATTAAATCCAGTGTTGCCCCAGTGTCGAAATGTAAAAAAATATTTTATTGATAATATTTTCCAAGTAGAACCATGATTGTAAATATCACAATCTCTTATTTCTAGGTGATTAAAACAGAAAAAGTATCTAAACTTTCGATCCTCAACCAATTTGTTTTCAAAAATAAACACCTTGAAACCCCTTTGAAAAATTAGCTGAAGCCTCAGACTGTATAGACTCGCATCTTGACTATAACCGCAGTAAACTTGGACTTATTTGGTTAAAGCATATTTATTCCACGAAGGTTTTAGTGGACTCTGTGAGAAGTTTTGCTTAGATATTTTATTTTTGGATAGACATTAAAGTAGCATCTTTATTTATTTTTTTTGTTTAAAGGGCTGTAAAACCAAACCCATGTATTAAACTGTTGGTGACCTAATTTAGAAACTCTAAAGCCTCCTTTATTTTAAAAGGATTTAGGGGGGAACTTTTTTTTTTGCCTAATGTTGCTGCAAAGTAAAAAGAAGCTCCACCCCCAGAGGCTAATACCGCTATGACTGCAGGGATTAATAATATTTTAGAAGACCGTCTGATATGAACCAAACTAAGTTAGATCGCTCTCTGTTCCTCAGCTCACTGTTTGCACACTGTGACTGAGGAGAACCCTGAGCTCCTACGGAGCATGAACCCCGCTGTGCTCGGAGCTCTGGAGAAAGTGCTACTGTCATCTGAGCCAGACATGGCGCACACTCTCCTCAGGACTTTAGCTGCAGGTAAAATTCATCCTGTTTTCATGCTCATCATGAAATGACTCCAGGTCTCCTCAGTGCCTGCCTTGTATCTCAGGTACGCTGTGGAACGTGAAGACCAGCCTGCCCGCCGCCCAGCAAGCTCAGACCCTCAACGCCGTCGTGGCTACCCTGTCACAGTGCCTGGATTTAGACACGGGCGTGTTGATCCCTGAACTCAGGCGAGCAGAAAAGGCTCATTCCAGAAACACGACCCCAGCGACGGACGCAGAACCACAGGCGGAGCCTGTCGAGGAGGAGATGGACAGAGAGGAGGAAGCACCCATGGAGAAGAAGAACGGCAAAACTCAGAAGGTCGACGGCGACTTCGCTGACCTGCTGCCTGTAAGCAGACTCTGATTATCACCGAACCATGTGAAGAGATTTACACCTGCTGAACATTTTTCACACTTTCTTTTATTACAGCAACAAAACTCCCCATTGTCAGTGTACCTTAACTTTTTTTTTGTTTACTTTTGGACCCCGAAACAAAATTCATTACAACTAATGGTATAATAAATTACCGGTAGTTATAAATATATAACTACAGCTGTTCTGTGAAGGCCTAAGCGGTTTGAAGACTAAAAACACCAAAGACGGGTGAGAGGTGAGGCTGAGGAAAATATTAAAGTAGGATTAGGCTATATATATATATATATATATATATATATATATATATATATATATAAAAAACCTTCTGAGTTTTGCCGTTCTTCTTCTCCATGGGTGCTTCCTCCTCTCTGTCCATATATATATATATATATATATATATATATGCTATTTAATTTGCAACTGCAGCCACACCGAGAAGGTGCCTTCCATCTACACAGATAGTCTGAGCAAAGATGAGCTCTGAAAGATTCAAAATCTAAGTAATTTTCTGTGAAATAAATGTATTGTCTGTTTTTTAGCAGAAAAGTACAATTTTTTTTCCCAGATCTGTAATACATCGGCATACACTGGTTAAATCTTCAAGGTGTGACAGCGCCATTAGCTGATGAATTAGAGGCGGGGAAAAAATGATCAGTAGATCTAGTTTTTCTTTATGATGTGTCAAATTTGAAATAAGAAACTGCAATAATTCCATATTAAAGTGTGTAATGTTGAGCACTTCTCATCGTCCATCAGGTTATTTTAAAAGCAGCCTTCCGTCTCAGAGTTTAAGTAGCTCAGTTTCACACTTTAAAGGAATAGTACACCCAAAACATGATTAGCCTTCATTTTCTACTCACCCCCATGCCGAACAACACTCTGGAGTACTTTTTTGATATCTCAAATGCATCTGGAGATCTGGGAGGCTTCTTGCTGTCTGCTGTCATTCAAATAATGGAGGTCTATGGCGCCCGAGGCAGAAAGGTCCATAAAAGTCCACAAAAAACGTGTCAATATTCCTCCATACTGCTCGTCCAATGTAATCCAAGTGTCCTGAGTGGGTAGCGTCCATAATTTACTCGAAACGAAGTCATTTAGAATGTTTTTAGAGCATAAACAGTAGTGTATAGGATTTCCTAAAAGCGCGCGCCTGCGAGTTCACGACGCTACGGAAACCGCGGCAGACCAAACCAGATGAAAGTGCACATTCAGCGTCTGCTCTGCCGATAAGCGTAGAAGAAGAAATGTGCTGTTTACCTGTGCAAAGAAAGAAACAACGAAAGAAAAATGTCTGAGGACTTCAGTGTTGAGGAAGAGCATGAGTTCTTTGCCGAGCTGAATGCGCACTTTCATCTGGTTTGGTCTGCCGCGGTTTCAGTAGACTCGTGAACTCGCTTTTAGGAAATGTTTGGATTTAGGATGTTAAAGTCTTTCTAAGTTCTCAGGTCCTTAGGAAAGAAGAAAAAAAGGAAAGTAGATCATTTTAAAACAACAGAAAGGACAAACTCTTCAACAACTGGAAGCGCTGTGGTGAAAAAGCCTCAGGTCACCCTGCGTGCAGACGGAGGTCGAGTTTGGACCGGGTGTCGCACGCCTCACGGTTCATGCAGGGACCGCTGACTGACTGTCAGTCGACGCCGGCGAGACGGATCTGTCCCTCATGGCTCCATCAGGAGCTGATCCCCAAAATCATGTTGACGTTCTGCAGTTTCCCTGTAACATATGTAGACATGGGGTTTCATCTAGTATTTGGTCATAATTGGAAGTTGCTTTTTTAAGCAGGCTGCCACCATGTCCCAGTTTAACGTGACGTATTTTAGTACATCAGCGGGAACGAATGGCGAGCGGCTGAAGCCAGACTGGGTGATGGCAGCGCCGGCGGTCTGATGTTGACTCACTTGGCTGTTTGTTTGTGTCCAGAGGGGTAAGGAGGAGCTGAGGGAAGCGACGGCCTTGCTGACAGCCCAGCAGACGTCCTTGGAGATCATTGTCAACATGTGCTGCTCTGACGGTGAGTGTTGAGGGCGCGGACAGCAGCGCTGACCCCGGGCACCTCTGACCGGGGATTTGAGGAGAGAAGCAAAATAAAATCCTTCATTGTTTCCTGTTTGCACTGTTTGAATTCTGTTTAGACCCATCTGATGACGAGTGGGAGGAGGAATCGAGCAGCGACGAAAGCGACATGGCGGCGGACGGGCTCTGTGACGGAGCGTCACACCTGATGTCCCCGCTGTGCCTGTCAGCCGAGGTGCAAGGCGCCTTGATCAACTACAGCATCCCAGAAAAGGCAAACGCTCTCTGCTTCCTCCACCGCACCTCACACCTAGTCCTACTCAAGCTTAGTTGGATGAAGTCGGCCGGTGAACAGGATGTCGCTTCAGATCAGGCGTTTTGATCCAGACTTTGATTAGGCCATTGGCTCATAAATACGCTTTAGTAAAATCTACTTCAATTTACCTTAATGTTTTCCCTCCACTTTCACCAAATAGACCTTTTTCACAACAACCGGAAGCTGCGTCTGAAAGGGCTGGAGCACTTCCTGTTTTACTCTAAAAAATGTCTCTCCTCCGGTGCTTTTCGTCATCCTTACTTAGTTTGCCAACACTTTCTTTCGCGGATGCGGAGGAAATCGCTGCGGCGAATTCCCCCACCAACAAATCTGTGAAAGGATACAAGTTCTTCCACGAAGAATATATCCACAGCTATCAAGGTAAGAAAAGACGTAGCTTAGCGAGCTAACCGCTAGCTGCAAGATATGAGCTACACAAACATCGTAATGAAGCCTAACTTAGTATCTAAATTATGTGGAATATTGGAGACGGACATAGTTTAAACTTTTCAGTTATATTTTGACATTCTGAAATTTGTTTGCCACTACAGTTTGTGAAAAACAGCATGCTAGAATGTTATGTTAGTTCTGAGATTCTAGATGATGCTTGATGTTGAAACTATGCTTTACTTCTGCATGCCTGTAGTGTCAAATATTGTCGAGGGGCAGGTAGTTGTCAGAGCTAGATGCTTCAGATCCATGAAGAAAAATGAGGAACCGCACAAGCTGCAGGTTTGAAACGGTCAGAAAGCCGGTTGGCTCTTGTTCGTTGGTTCGGGTTCCTGTTCATGTTTGACGGCTGAAGAACTTTCACGTACGACTTCTGGACTACTTAGAGCTTATTCTAACATTTTCCTGTTCAGTTGTTACTATTTGTTTTATGTTTCTGTTGCGGTTGCAACATAATCTGTGGGAATGCATGATAGGACAGATATGGCTGTTTTCTTGCCCCACATGAACAACCAGGTACAGAACAAAAACAACTGCGCCGAGACTGAGCCATTTTCTTAGACTTTTATGCTAACGCTATAGCCACCGGAAGTTGTCAAACCCCACATCCGCTTTAAAACCCGGAAGTGTGAAAAAGGTCTATTCCCTGTCCCAGTTGTAAAAAGGCATTCCCCATGCAGCATCATGCTGCCACCACCGTGCTCTAGCATGGCTAAATCTGTTGAAGGTATCAGAGAAAAGGCGGCTGAATATAAACTGATGCTATTTTTTTTTTTCAAAAAATAATAAAATATACATTCTTTTATTTCCTACTTCAAATATATAAATGTCCCATGTGTTTTGTCACATAGTTTACAGTAATTTGTTGTTTTTCGTGAGAAAATGTGATAAAGCTCATGGTTATCTCTACTTGTGGAAGGCGCTGTGTGATTTTTGAGCCCCTTCTCTCTCCTCTTGTTCTTATGCTTTTACTGTTTGGTATTTATATAAACATTTTTCCTCTTGATTCCAGGTCCTTAAAAAGTCAACCTTCCCCAGCCAAGAAGCCATTGATGTGTGCAGCGAGAGTCCATCCTGGAGGGGCCTAAAGAAGAGGTAGCTGACTTTTTTTTCTTCCCTATTCATATTAGTTGCAGCTGCAAACTTTTCTGCACCTAAACTTTTTTTAAAATGTCTCCTCTGTGCAGGATGCAGCGGGTTCAGTCCCGGGCGCTGACCTGCCTCCACAGCATCCTCTCCACCATGGATGCAGAGTCGCTGGGCGGAGAGGCAGCCCTGCAGGGAGCAGCACATCACCTGTCCTCGCTGGTGTTCGGAGCCGGAGGTCTCACATTCATGATGACAATTTTAGGACATTAGGAATCAGTTTAGATTCATTCCATGAAAACAGAACACAGATCTGTGAATTATTGTTTCGTTATTCTGTTTCAGAGATCCCTAAAGATGAGGAGTTTCTTGAGGCTGTTATCAGCGCCATGCGTTCTCTCCTGCAGATAATGGCCTCCAAGAACATTAGCCAGGTACTGAATACGAAATGGTTCTGTCTCAGTTAAAAGTTTTCATACTTTATGGTTAATATTACATGAGATAAATACCATAGTTTAGCTTTATACAACCTTTAGGATACTTTATAACTGGATCTTTATTCCTACAAAAGCCCTGTGTAACTTTTAACCCTAGCATTAATTAAATTTAGGATTTATTAAATGATTTATTGGGTCAATATTCAGCAGTTGCTGCATCTTGATGCAGGCGGTTCTTCGCTAAAACCTGCCCATGTAAATTCTGATGTAGGATTTCATCTGGAGAACTTAATGTGGCCTCAACTTTACCAGGAACTCCATGACTTCCCATTCTGCTGTTCGAAACTGTTCTCTACTTTGCCAGTAGGCTGTTATGGAAGCAAATCGTTACCATATTTGAAATGAAAAATCATTTTTTAGAAATGCTTTTTCATTTTAAGAATGTGGCTGCATTGTTTGACTCATAAATGAAATTAGTAATCAATAATCCTCTTTGCATTTTCATTTTCTTCTTCAACACTGCACATCCTTTTACTTAATTAAAATTAAAAAGAAAAAGACATTTGAGATTTATTTTTCAAAATGTATCCCAGCAAATAAATACCAAAATTCAATTTGAAAAGTCAAATATGAAAATGAAAAAGCATTTCCAGAAATGGTTTTTAATTTAAAGAATGTCGCTGCATTATTTGACTCAAAAATGAAATTAGTAATCAATCATCCTATTTGCATTTGCATTTTCTTTTTTAAGACTGCACATTTTATGCCATAATCAAAGAGAAAACACAGCGAACATTGCGTTTTCGTGGTCTGCTTGCAAAGTACTGTCCATAACTCAAAAACGAAAAAGCATACTGAGTGGCGTCAAGTAATGCAGCCACATTCTTAAAATGAAAAAAACATTTCTGAAAATGCTTTTTCATTTTCAAATTTTACATTTCAAATTGAATTTTGGTATGAATTTGCTGGGGTACATTTTTTAAAAATAAATCTCAAATGTCTTTTTCTTTTTCATTTTAATTAAGTAAAAGGATGAGCAGTGTTGAAGAAAATTAAAATGCAAAGAGGATTATTGATTACTAATTTCATTTATGAGTCAAACAATGCAGCCACATTCTTAAAATGAAAAAGTATTTCTGAAAATGCTTTTTTATTTTAAATTTGGTAACGATTTGCTCCCATAGGCTGCTGCCTGTCACTTTCAGGGGAGCTAAACCTGGAAATTACAGGTCTAGCGCCCCTGGTGGGTATGACAGTGTTTTTTTTCCCTGATGTATTTTATTGTTGCCTTTCCTGAAAACTGTGCAGTTTCAGATTGCTGTATTTTTACAGCTACACACAATACAAATATCTATTATAGAACCATTTTGATCTTAAACATGTAAACAATTGTAAGAAATAAGATAAATTCTGAAGGACGAACGGTATAGAAAACTCTTGGTAAACGTCTGTAATAGATCTATTTGTCATGTTAAAAAAATCCAAAAGCAAACTATTTAATCTCGTCTTATAGGTAACACATATAAATAGATGCTGATTTGTAGCTTTGATTCAAGGTTTTATTCATGAAGCCACTCGCTGTTGGGTGTTTTTTTTTTTTCAGTGCATGACCCCCCAGCAGCTGATGAGCCTGAGCGAGGCAGCCACCTGCTGCGACATCGTCAGCGTAAGGGTTAACGCCGTCGCCATTCTGGGCATCACTGGAAGCACATTAGCCAAAGAAAAGGGCACGGCGCAAACCCTCCAGGTATCACTTCTTTTTCCTGTTAGTTTGCTTCAAATCCATACTTTTTGCTCCCGCTCTGAAGTTTTTCTATTTATTTTTTGCTCCCCCAGATGATCGGAAACGCCTTGCTTCAGGTCGCTACGAAAGATTCCAACCTGGTTGTGAACGGAGAAGCTCTGGACGCTTTGTTTGACGTGTTTGCCGATGGCGAGGAGGCAGAAACAGCGGCTAAAACCATCAGCCTACTGCCTGCACTTAAGGCACTTCAGCCAGTCTTCAAGGCCAAGGTTTCTACAGATGAGCTAATTATTGATTTACAGTTTTTGATTATTTCCAGTTTCTTTTGTACAATTTTCCCCAAAAAATGGTCAGATTGAATTCATTAGTGTCTAATTTCTCCAATAAGTCAAGATGTTTATCTGTCCTCTGTTTCCTCAATAGATCCGTAAAGAAGGACGGGGTAGTTACAGCCCTGAGCAGCTGTGCGTGTTGGACAACATCAAAATCAACCTAAGGAGATTTATCGGTTATCTGGAGAAGCTGGTAAAGAAATAAGGACTTTGGGTTCTTCATACTGTGAGTCGTGGAGACGGTATGAGAAGGATTGGATGTGAAAATATCAGTTATTTATCAATTTTTTTTTATTAATTATCTTTTTTTCTCCTTTTTTCTTTTGCTTGGTAAAAGTTTTAATATTTGTCCAAAAGAAGAGGTGATGACATATCAGCTAGTGTGAAAAAAAAAGTGTGAGAAAAAGTTTAATAAGAGTGCAGTTAATAATTCATTGGTATCCTTTAACATCCCAAGTGGTAGAAGGAGGCCTACTTTTGTTGTGAGGAAACCACAGACTGCTGCTCTTATTTGGAGTTTAACGGTAAAATGATCCATAAAAAGTGCTTTTATTAAAGTTGAGATATTACTGGGATATTTTGGGTAACGTCGGTTTCTAGAGACCTTTTGAAATCGGGCTTTGAAGGCCACATTTGTAGTTTTGTATTTTAAAATGGCTGCGCAGATGTTTCAGCTCATAGAGAAAAGCTTAACATGTCTCTTAAAGATAAAGGAGATTAAATGAACTCTTCCACACTGAGCCTAGCTGAGGTTTAAACACCAATTCTTCTCTCCCCTGAGAACAAAAGGAGGCCCACAGCATGATGCTGCCATCGTTGATGTTGGTGTTTAAATGGTGGGTCCATCATATTTGGCCTCACCTTCTTTACACCTTTACTGAATCCCTCCATGGTCTGTTGCAAACTGCAAAATGGATTTATTGCCTTCTTTCAAACTTGGATTTTCATCTTGCGATGCCTGTTTTATTTGTAAAAAAAAAACAATAAAAACCACTTGTTCCTAATAATGTCCTCCTTTGTTTGTTTACCTTATAAGATTCCAGTGAGATTCTAATATGTGTTTGTTACAAGAGAAAATTGAACATTGTTAAATTGATCTGAGTATTTTCACACGGCTAAGTTCACAAGGGTACAAAGCCGAAATGTTATTAAAAAGGCTTTTTTTTTTTTTTTTTGAATTTATATTTCTTTACATCCAAACTTCAAAGCTTCTTAAAAGCAGTTTTTTTTTTTCTCTCAGAAAAATGACTTTCTACACTTATTATTGAAGGGAGCAGGAATTAGCAGGGACCGCAAAGGGTGCTAAACTTGTGTGAAAGAAACTAACTTATCTAATTCAACCAAGCTATGAAAAAAAACTGATGCATCATATTGAATCTCAAGCTCAGATTTAAAAATGTTCAGCAGTTTGTGTTCATTTTATTTAGAACTGTTTCCCACACAAATGAAGTTCTTAGCAATAATGCAAACATTAGTAACCATCCTTGACCAGTTTGGAGTAAAGGGAGATGTGACGTTCCACCTGGAAATATTCTTTACACATTTGAAATTTTCTTCCAAAATGTCAAAAAATTACAAACTGGTCAAAAACAACTTGACTTATGTAATCAAACCACTGAAAATCGATAGACTTTTTGTTTGTTGAAGGTCTTATTCCAAACTCTTTGTGATGAAAATAGCTTAAAATAATTTCTTCTAGAGGAAAGCACATTTTAATCTAAGAAACAGAAATAATCCAGAGCCAGCTCATTAAATTAGAAAACAATGAAGTTAGGTTATTTTACTAGTTCAACTTAAGTCAAGTCAAACTTTATTTATAAATCGCTTTTCATACAAATAATATAGTTCAAAGTGCTTTCCACAAATAAAAACATTACCCCATTGTAATTGAACATGGAATAAACATAATTACACCCCATCACCAACGCACACACACTACACACACAAACAGACCAACAGATATTTTCAGACTGAGGGAAAGCTAATAAAAAGGCTGAGTGCAGAAACTCATGTAGATTCATTACACAAAGATACTTTATATTAACTCGAGACATATTTAGATGCTTTATGGTTTGCAGAGAAACCAATAAAAAAAATATTAGAATGTAAATGCGAGATTATGGCCAACACTTATGAGGAAGAATGATGACTTGAGAGTTATAAAGCCAACGTTCAAAAACAAAGAAGTTAAAAAATGCAAGTTGAAAAGCACAAATGTAACTTCCTGTTAAATCAAATCAGACTATAGAGCTCGGTTTGGCTGTAGGTCACAAATCCGAACTAAACAAGAAATATAAATGAGAAGTATAAGAAGATAAAGTCTGTGTTATTGAATAAAACGGCTGGTTTACAAAAGATTAAAGATGATCATTCTTATTTTTATCTAATTTATAGCTTATCCTTCTGTAAGAGACAAAGCAACGCTTAATGATTTAGTTGTAGGTTTTCTGACAGGTTTTACCGGAATCTCTAGCTTTGACTTTGATGTGTTTTAGGGAGGAAGATATTTCCTTTTTTTCTTCTTTCTTTTTGCCAAGTAAATCCAGATTTTTATTTAGAAGTGAAAACCTGTGTTTTTGTTCCATTTTAAGGAGTTCTGGAAATTGAAATTAAGTAAGAAATCATCCCACTATTATAATGCCGAAAGATGAAGTGACTGATTTTGTTTAAGACTTAGACAGATTTATTTGTCATTTTGTTTAAACAAGTGTAAATTAAAAAGAAATTTCATTTAGAGCAGCTCTCTAGACAATTAATTTTTTTTTAAAGTGCAGTCTTGAAAAATAGTAAAAAAATATATATATATATAAAAAAAAACAGTAACATAAACATATGACTAAATTTACAGTGCTAACATTTCAGTGTTTTTTATATATATAATGATAAAATATAGTAAATATAATAAAATACAATAAAATAACCCATTTTACAAAACATTCAGCAGTCTAATGGCAGAACCCTAAAGCTTCTTTAGGGTTTTTCTATAAGAAGCCTAAAGCTCTAAGAACACACAGATTGGTTGTAACTGGTTAGATTTATCTAGTTACATTTACTTCAGTGACCTTTTGAAAGCAAAATAACTTCTTCATTGCACTAGACCTTTTTTTTCTTAAGTTAAATCATGAAGTGTCTACTGTTTAATAAGTAAAATCACCAGCTGCTCTCACTGCCACGAATTTCACTGAATAAACAACAAGCTTGTTTTCAACAAATATCCATCCAACTGTGATATTATCCTGGAGGGAAATCAGCTGGGCTGCTGCCATCATCAACTTTAGTTATAGATGAGAGAGTTGGGTCTGTTTTTCGGTGCTTAGTCCTGTTCCTCTCCTAGAAATATTTATGGGCTCAGCTTTTACTGTGACTAACTCTATTTCAACCTTTTGATATAAAAAAAACTGACTCAGAGCTTGTCTGCTTAGCTGTTTCCTAGACAGATCCACCTATGGGGCTAGTTTACTGTTACCTTTTCTAACAAAGTATTTATAGATCAGTGCTTCTATATTTCCTTTTTAATGTGTCTCCTGTCCTCTCAAACACCAGTAGGGCTTGGTAGAACGCTGAGCCTGGTTCTGCTGAAGGTTCCTTCCTGTTAAAAGGGAGTTTTTCCTCTCTACTGTCTCTGCATGCATGCTCTGTTTGAGGGATTGCTGTAGATTCAACAACACAATTCAAGTCCCACTTTCTCTGTCGCCACATGCCCATCCAGGAGGAGTAAATCTGGCAAAGTCAACAAACTGATGCCATCAGGTGGGTTTCCTTATAGAGAAAACCTTGAACCAATGTGCCGGTGTGATCTAATTAAATTGTCTTTATAAAGACCCTTGGGATGACATTTTGTGAAATTGAGCTATAGAAATAAGCTGAATTTAGCCAAAAAATATATATACTTTGAAGTTTATATTGAAGGATTTATTGTGTGTAAACAATCTTTACTGTTATTTATGACCTGCTAAGGGTATTGTTCCAATTCTAAGTTTTGGTTTATTTATCTTTAAAATTTTGATAAGAAAGAGTGCCACATCTCTCTCAATTTGTTGTGTTTTTGTCATAACTTTTTTCTGCTTCTTTGTTTTAGAATTTAGCATACCAGAATTGGAACTTAAGTTTTCTTTCTGTCTGTTTGGATCATTTTTAATCAGATTTTTTAATTAATTGTTGACTTTCAAATACCTGAACCACAGCGTTTTCAAGATCTTATTCCTAAGGATGTTAGCGGGTCCCCTTTGGATCCCCGTTATACATCGCGGTTCCTGAGTGGCCCTTTTTTTAAAATCATATACATTCTCACTGCTGTTGGATAATTTCTGGAAGGGCTACTTTCTCATTTTAAATTGCAAAAATATATGGGAACCGTACTAAATCGTACACAAACTACATATATATATATATATATATATATATATATATATATATATATATATATATATGTCCCCCAAGGTCCCCCCTTGTCCCCAAAAAATAGTCTTTGATTTCCAACCGATTTTAATTGCAAGACTTATAATAATCTGTAGAATACGATTTCCATATTATTATTATTTTTTTTAACTCTTCACTATTATGTTATTTTTATACATTCTTCTAAGGTCCACATTTGTGTGGCCATTTTTTCTATAATCTTCTGTAACACCAGAATTTCCCCTTTGTGGGACAATAAAGGAATGGATATGGATATATATATATATATAAATCCGTGTTTGTTATGTAATAGTACATAAAAAACGTAAATGTATGTTGCGTAATCGCCGTATCCCCGCCCCCTTTTTCACTCGCAGTGCGCATGCGCAGTAGCGGTGTTGACTCCGCCATCGGTGGAAAGAAACACTCTTCACGCTTCAACGTCTTTAACAGCAAGTTGATCCTCGAATAGTGTTTTTATCAGCTGTCTCGCTCTCTCGTTTTACTATGTGTGGATGCATTAGTCCGAACCTTCGGTGTTTAACGTGATTTCTCAAACGCGTAGTTTTTATTTTTTAGTTTTTTTTCCTCTCGTAATCTAGAAGTAACGGTCAGTGGAGAACCTGAGCAGGCTAGCTAACGTTAGCTAGCGATCTGGCTAGCAGCACACGAGCTGAGCGCTGCTCAGTGGTGGGGGGGGCTTTTTGCCTACAGTGGCGTTTGATGGATCCGAGAATCGCATGGTTTCAACCAGAACAACGGGGACCCGCTAACAACCTGTGGATGCAGATCTGGGAGACGACGCAGGGATTCGGGTATTTGCACGTCAACAGCAGCTACTCCACAGGATCTCAGAGCCTGAAAGCGACCGTGAGCGACGGGGCATCGGGAGCCGTTCTTTGCAGAAACGGGACGCTCGACTCTCACATCGGCGGTGGAGACATCAAGGCTCAGAATACCTCCACAGGGGACAGAGAGATGACCGAGCAGCGGGACTTTATACCACTTGACAACAGCAACCACAACAACCAAGCCGCGGGCAGGGGCGGTGCTGGTGGTGCGGGGCAGCAGGGCGGTGGGGTCTCTGTGGTTTGGAGGGGACTCACGGACGGACACCCTAATAAAAGGAAGAGGGACAACAAAGCAAGCACTTTCGGATACAATTCCAGTCTTTTGAACAATGACAGCGGCTCTAACACGGAAAGATATGAAGGTTACACGGGCACGCCTTGGAAAGTCAGGAACTACTCTGAAGGAGTTGTTGGGTAAGAGTGAGTCTGTTGAAGATTGACCCACACCTGCTGCTTGCAGGCCAACTCAATCACTCTTTAAACCTACTACAATGTTTATGTACATGTTTAATATCAAAGGAAAAATACAAAAGCGGAGGTTGTTCATCTGACCTGAACCTCTGGTTTATTTCCACTCAATGTGTTTAATTTGTTCAGCTGCTGAAAATGAACTAGTTTGTAGAGTTAGTTGCTGTTTGAGTTTAAAAAGTAGACCACAGTAGATCAGCTGAAGGTATTTCCAGGTTCTGAAATTCACTCCTTAAAAGGGGAAGTGTCATTGAAGCAGAAGTTGAGTTTGTGATTAGATTAGAAAGTTGTTAGAAATAATGTTTGATTTCAGCTTAAATGATATCGATCATTTCATATTTGGTATATTTCAGGTATGCTGGTGAAGGTTCCCAGTCATCCAGGTCATGGTCATTCTAAAAATTAAAAAGAAAAAAAATCCACTGTACTTGGTTTCTGAGTTTTCACCTCCCACCCAGGAAGCTTTTTCAATTCAAAATGTCAAGAATAGCATTGAGTTTGAGGTTTTATACAGTCTTCAAAACAAAAACTAGTTAAGAAAAGCAATTGTCAAAATGAATAGAAAATCAATATATATGCAGAAGATGCCATATGATTGTGGATATTGTCACTTTAAAGTGTTTAAAGTCTAAATGTTTAGGGTAGGATATTACAATATACAAAGTAAAAAAACTAAAATAAGAGGAGAAAAGAAAATGTCTCATTCTAGTTCTTCTTTGTTCTGATTATGGACCCAACAAGAGAAAAAAAAATGTCTGTCTGATGGATCGCAATATCTATGAAGGCGTTTCATTATAAAACCTGTTAATCTGCTCTCAATTGATATGAATGTGAAAGCTGTGAAACATCTGAGACATGCAGGTTAGAGGGCCTTGAGGAGCAGGTTGAAAAAAACACTGGTCTAAACAGTAGATCTGAATAAATGACGCTTAAAGAAATGATAAACTGTCAAAATTAACATTTTCCCCATTGGTGGATTGAGAAATATAAATAAAATACAGATGGAGTGGGATGTTAAATAATATAAATCATATTTTTTCAAGGAACTGGTGTCCTGAAGAAGCATATTTTAACATTGTATATTTTTTTCAGAGCAGTCGGTTATGTTTCTGTGATTGCTCCTGCACGTTTTTACTAAAGAAAGACTCTAAAGGAGTATTGAAGATGTGTTTTAATCCTCACCTTTATCATTTTTATGGTAATGCCACAAAATATTATAAGATTTTAGATATAAATCACAGAGTCTCATGGACGTAATTCTGGGGGGTGATGAGTGGGGACATGTCCCCTGTATGTTTTACTGTCCAAAAACAATGTAAAGCTACAGGACCGCCCACAATCTCCTGATAGGCCCACCATCTTTTATTGTGTAATTGGCTGTCACTCCTGAGAAGCTAACTTTACAAAGATTTGGCTACGTTCACACTGCAGGCCTTACTGCTCAATTCCGATTTTTTCTGAAATCGTTGCCGTTTATATTTCCAAATATATGCGACTTGTTTGTGATCTCCTGGGTGAACTGTATTCATACAACTTAAGTATACTGCATGTGCAGTAGTGCTCTGTGTTTACAGGATTAAACATGGATGGTAGCGCTGTAGCATATCTAGTGATCTTTCCAAACCTTAAATCCGCAATCTTTTTAAGATGGTTAAAAAAATATTGCTGTCCGCATCATCATCTGCCATGGTGTTTGTTTTTCTTGCCGCTTCTGTGTAGCAAGACGCAGAATAGTGACCTATGTCGGTCACTAATGGCGTTCAGGTTGGATGAATGCGACCTGGCCGTTCAGACACAGGTCACATTCGAAAAGACTAGATTCATATCGGATCCAGGACCACATAGCCAAGGGCCTGGGTCAGATTGGAAAAGATGGGATCTGTGTTGTTCAGACAGCCATGAAAAGATCAGATCCAGTTCCCATGTGGGCAGAAACATCGGATTTGCGGTTTGAACGTAGACTTTGATACACTACTGAATCCGGTCTGTGATTAGATGGTCAAACACGCTGAAGTTAGTTGTATTAAAATATACTTGCGTCCCTTAACTTATGAAATCAAATTTTCATCCATGCCCAGTCCTACTCCGTGCGTATAAACTTTGCTTGTGTTCTGGTTGCAGCACTTTTTACAGTTATGTGATCTTTCAATACCGTCTGCACTACTTTAGCAGACGGTAGTGTACTTTAGTGTCTTTAGTCCTACAGATGATAAAGTGGTCAATATCTTGAAACATAGCAAAACTTTATTTTTTCTGAGCGTTTGTAGTTTAACGGTAGGGCTGCTACTAAGATCATTTTTCTGATGGTTTAATCTGTCAATTACTTTTCAGATTTATAATTGGAAATCAAAGGGTACCTTAAAGTTTTTTTTAAATATACAGAATTTAAAACTGGTTAAACTACAACTTTTCCACTTGTGGAGTTTTGAATAGAGCATATTGACATAGAGAAAGTTCTATTTTTATTTTTGGTATATTTATTGGTATAATTACTGCTCTTAGTGGGTTTCTCTGTCAGCTTATAGAGCCTCTATACTCTAGGTAACAGTCACTCGATTACTAAATTAATTGACGATTATTTCAATAATCGATTAATGACCATTAATACAATGAATTGTTTCAACCCTATTTAACATTCTAGTGGTTTTTTTTGTTATTAGGTGAAGAAACATGGTATTGCTTTTATAGTCCGTTTTATATTTGGGGAAGTCTAATTGAATAGACTGTAGGATATTTTTAACTCTTGTTAAAATAATAATACTTAAAAATAAAAAGCAGGTCCAGGTCATAGATGTAGATGAAGATGGACAAACTGACTCATCCCTTTGAGTTTGTCTCTGTGCTTTCAAAATCGTTTCTAGGTGGGGTTAAAAGGGCCAACAATGAAAGAAAACACAAATTATAAAGTGTCATTATGTGTAATTAAAATAATAAAAACAAAAAAAATCCAATCTGCAAACAGGGGTGGGGCTGTTTCTGCCCTTTCGAGAGACTTAGGGGTCTCTTTTAGGACAGCAACTAACGATTATTATGCAAATCGATTAATCTGCCGATTACTTTTTCAAGTAATTGATTAATAATCGGATAGCAAAGGGTTCCTTAAAGATTTTTTGCTAAATTAAACCCGATACTAACACATTTCCACTTGAGGAGTCCTGAGTAGAGCATATTGAAAGTAAGACATTTTTATTTATTTTTTTTTACATTTTCATAAATACATTTTTTATTTTATTATTTTTTTTTTTTTTTTACAATTTTGGTTTAATTACTGCTTACTGGTTACTCTGGCTGCTAAAGGCCCATTGTAGAGTCTCTTTACTCCAGTTAAAGGTATTGTGGAGGTTTTTTGAAAAGACCCGCCCTCTCCACTATAAAAACAAAAATTTGCATGCATGAGCCCATTTCTCCACGTAGGGCGACCTTATGTAAACATATCGCCAGAATGATTGAGCGTTAGGAGGACCACTTATTTAAATGATCCAGCCAGAAAAAAAAGATCCTCTATACCTTTCCTAGTTGATGATTATTTCAATAATTGATTAATCACGATTAATTGTGTCAGCCCCCGTCTCTTTAAAATATAATAAAGTCTAGTTTTTAGTTTATTTTTACTTTAGGTCATTGACACCAAAGCATCCCCTTGTTCACATACAGTAGGTTCTTTGTTCTACTAGCAGTATCCTCATTATTGATTTTATCAATGAAATTTGATTTTGGAAGGAGTGCAACGTTCTATATAGATCAGGTTTCAGGCGTTAGTGTTCTTATTTTAAAAGAATAGAAAAGAAAGGGGCAGAAAAAAGATTGCTGTGGAAGCACCAATGCTACAAGATTTATCCCAGATATTTCTGTCCGTGCCAGATATTTCCACAAATATGTAGTATAATATACCATTAGATTACGTTTAAAATGCTAATTAGATGTTCGGTTTCCTGTCTCACTGTCCCTAGGGTTGGACAATATAATCCGAATAGGTAAATATTGTGATGTTTTTCAAAACAGATCTAAGATGAGACTAAATAATTTATATAGAGATGCTTTACTTTGTGCTAAAATACTGTTATATCTGCCAGTAGGTTATTCGTCCTCCATTGTCTTTATCTTCTCGTGTTGCTTAAACATCTGCCTGCATGATATGTGGGAAAAAGCTTTGATTCAGAGGTGCCTTTTTTGATGATTACTTTATTAAACAAAATCAAGATAAATATTGCAGATCTTCATCCAGCTTAAAAATATTGAGATAATTTTTTCCCCCCATATCGCTCCCTGTTAGGCCTCATTAGGAGGACAGGCAAATCTGAGGAAAATGTGCATTTTGTTCAACTTGTACTGAGTTTCAGCTTTTACTAGAAATTCCACAACTGCATAACGTTTCTAATATCTTTCATCTCTACTTTTCTTTAAGAATTTTATATTTATGTTTTTAGATATACAAATGTATATTAAATGATAATGCATATTGTACATAAACTTGTGCTGCTGAAACGGTGAAAAATAGTTTTAGGAACTCCTTTCTGAGTACATAGCTGGGTTGCATTGATCCCTCGAACCTACTGGTGCTTCAGAAACACTGAAGCCAGGCGGACTGTTTAACTAATGAACCTGCATAGCGATGACAGCTTAATACTCCTAAATCAAAAAAAAAAAAAACTACAAGAAGCTTCCAAGTGAGCCTTGGAATCTATGCTTAGTGTTTTGGATATTTCATTCACGCTTAATTTTTTTCTCTCTGTTTTTGCAGACCCCTGTTTATAGTTTACCTGCACCTCACTGTGGAGGATTGGTTTGTTTATAGTTTAAAAAGTGTGGAGAGGTTTTCATGGGTGGGGCTGTGAAATAAACATCACCCTCTCTTCGCCCTTTCTGTTAAACATGTGGAGACAGGCTGCACACAAGCTTGGAGAGTTCAGCCTTTGGCTGATCCTCATTTATAGTAATATGGGAGC